TGCACCAAGAGCTTGTAACACTCCAAAGAGAAAGGAAAAATTGAAATCGCATCATATGACCCCTTTAACAGACAAAAAGTGAACTGCAAAAATATATTCTCCTACTCGCATCATTTTGCAAACTATTCATGTATTTAATAACACCTTGTTGTCTTACTACTTAACATTGGTATAGGCTATATAAAAAATAACATAACATAATATTCATGAAATAAAAATAACAATAAATAACATTTTCAAAGGTTTTGCAAATATATATATGATTAGGCTATAGATTATTTCACTGAGGAATACAGTCTTTAAAATTGTTTGTTTATAGGAAAAACTACTCATGCTTTTATTAATAAGACCTACTATTATGTTTCTTATACTATTCCAAATTGGTCTATAAAATATTAATGTAAGCCTAAGATTCATAAAATAGCAAAACCATATAAAACTTGTCAAATGTTTTACTGTAGAATCTGTTTGATTACAGATCACTAAGAAATACAGAAGAAGAAAAAACACTTCTACTCTAGCTATTTGAGTAAAATCAGATCTAATGCTGTGTTTTTACAGTAAACCGACTCTTTTCTCGTTCCTCACACACATGTAGGCTACACTAAGAAATTCAGACTAGGCTACACGGAGTAATGGACTGTTTGAAGTGAATCGAAATTAAACGTGTTTAACAAATCGATTCACTCACCTTTAGCCTGGGTAGCGTTCAGAAAAATTAAAGCGATTAACACGACAAGAAAAACTTTCCCCATGACTGACAAACTCGTCCTATGTGCTCAATTAAAAACAAACGTGGTCTCCCTCCACACCTTTAGTCTGTGCGTGGAATCCAAACGACAAGAGAGCGCTCTCTCTCTCTCTCTCTCTCTCTCGTGTTCTTGAGGTTCTTAAGTGTCCAAAACTTTTTAAACTAAAGTCTTAAAGGGACCGTTCATTATAGTTTTTGTTTATGTAATGCTCACTTTTGGCTGCAAGATGAGACTTGTACTTGTGTTTGTTGTTCTGCCAAAGATTTTGCGTGCATGTACATTTAACCATTGTATGAAGGAAATGCCTGTAGGTGAGAGATAACACAAACAGAGGTCACATTTCTGATCTTGAAATCTCTAACCATCTGAAAGTGTTTTCAACTCCCATCAGTGCACTTCTTATAATTAGCCGATATAGTTACTGCGGTGCAGCCAGCTTGCGCTGTCCATGACGCAGTAGGAGCAGATCAAATACAGATCAAAAGTGACAAACACATGAGAGAAAGATGCTTTCTTGTTATGGAGGACGAGAAATGACTTAAGTATAAATAAATAAATAAATGAATAAATACGTAAATGCAGAATTAAATAAATAAATAAATGTAGAAATACATAAATTAATAAATGAAGAAATAAATATATGAAGAAATAAATATAGAAATACATAAATAAATGTAGAAATACATAAGTAAATAAATAAATAAATAATTAAATGCTTAAATAAATAAATAAATGCAGATATGCATAAATTAATGAATGCATAAATAAATAATTTTGTCAAAACTGTCATTTTTAATTGTGCTATTTTTGTACCATTTGTGTTATACTACATTTTTTTCTACATTTATTTATGTATTTCTACATTTATTTATTTTTAAATTTATTTATGCATTCCTACATTTCTACATTTATTTATTTCTGTATTTCTGTGTCCGTATGTTAATAAGGTAGGCGGTCCTAACCTCTCTCAATGCAGGATTGGTTAAACAGGATCGATATCGTTTACGGCTGTTCTACTGTATACTCACCCTCGTGTCGTTCCAAAGCCGTAAGACCTCCGTTCATCTTCGTAACACAAATGAAGATATTTTTGTTGCATTCTGACAGCTGTCTGACCCTCCCATAGACAGCAAGGGTACTACCACGATCAACGTCCAGAAACGTAGCAAGGTCATCGGTAAAATAATCAATGTGACATCAAGAAAAGAAAAAAATGACTTTATTCGACAATTCGTCTCCTCCACGTCATCCTAGCGCCATTTTGGAGAGTATCCACAGAATATGTTGTTCTGTGTCAGCTGCGCCACGCGGATACGTTGTTTTCATTCAAATCAAAGCACAAAAAACGTAGAAAAGGAACACAAATTAAGATATTTTGGATTAATTCCGAGAGCTCTCTGACCCTCCCATAGACAGCAATGTAATTAACACGATCAACATCCAGAAACATAGCAAGGAGATCGGTAAAATAATCCCTGTGTCATCAGGGCTTCAACCGTAATTTTACGAAGCTACGAGAACACTTTTTGTATGCAAAGAAAACAGAAATAACGACTTTATTACTGTAAACAATTAGTCTCCTCCGCATCACCCTATAGCACCATTTTGGAGAGTATCTACTGAATGTAAACAGCGTATGCTGTTCTGTGTCAGCTGCGCCACGCGGATACGTTGTTTTCATTCAAATCAAAGCACAAACAACGTAGAAAACGTATCTGCGTGGTGCAGCTGACACAGATCAACATACGCTGTTTGCCTTCAGTGGATACTCTCCAAAATGCTAGGGTGACGCGGAGGAGACCTAATAAAGTCGTTATTTTTTTTCTTTTGCGAACAAAAAGCATTCTCGTAGCTTCGTAATATTACGGTTGAACCCCTGATGTCACATGGATTATTTTACCGATGACCTT